GTGGTGGTGGTAGTAGCTGGGTGTTGTGGTGGTGGCAGTAGTAGGTGTGACGATTCTGTCCTCTCCTCCTCTACCACCATTACCATCACTTGCTCCAGCTTGACACCAGGAGAAGAAACTGCTTCACGAAGCTACTCGACCCCAGTGAGCCCGTTGTGTGTTTGGTTCTATACATGGGAGCTAATATAGCTACTAAGTGCAAAAAAATGGAATCCATCTTAATATGGCTGCTATCTTCCCATCAGAGATAGTGTCGTGCCATTTCACACACAGTGTGCTTGGTCCTGTCCGTTGGAGGCTCTATCTTCACAGCGGTGGGTCGTGGTGTGGTAGAAGCAGAGGGTCGTGGTGTAATGGTAACAGGGGGTGGTGGTGATGGTAGTAGTGTTGGGTCGTGATGGTTAGTAGCAGGGGTCGTGGCGTGGTAGTAGCAGGGGTCGGCGTGGAAATGGGGTCGTGGTGTGGTAGTAGCAGGAGTCGTGGTGTGGTAGTAGCAGGGGGTGGTGGTAGAGGTAGTAGTAGTCGTGGTGTGGTAGTAGCAGGGTCGTGGTGTGGTAGTAGCAGGGTGTGGTGTGGTAGTAGCAGGGGGTCGTGGTGTGAGTCTGTGGTAGTAGGGTCGTGGTGTGGTAGTAGCAGGGAGTCGTGGTGTGGTGTAGGGGTCGTGGTAGTAGCAGGGGTCGTGGTAGTAGCAGTGGTAATAGGGGGTGTGGTAGTAGCAGGAGTCGTGGTGTGGTAGTGGGGTCGTAGGGGGTCGTGGTGTGGTAGTAGCAGGGGATCGTGGTGTGGTAGTAGCAGGGGGGATCGTGGTGTGGTAGTAGCAGGGGTCGTGGTGTGGTAGTAGCAGGGGGTCGTGGTGTGGTAGTAGCAGGGGAGTCGTGGCGTGGTAGTAGCAGGAGTCGTGGCGTGGTAGTAGCAGGGGTCGTGGTGTGGTAGTAACAGGGAGTCGTGGCGTGGTAGAGGGGTCTGGCGTGGTAGTGGCAGGGGTCGTGGTGTGGTAGTAGCAGGGGTCGTGGCGTGGTAGTAGCAGGGGGTCTGGTGTGGTAGTGGCAGGCGGTCGTGGTGTGGTAGTGGCAGGGGGTCGTGGCGTGTTAGTAGCAAGGGTCGTGACGTGGTAGTAGCAGGGGTCGTGGTGTGGTAGTAGCAGGGGGTCGTGGCGTGTTAGTAGCAGGGGAGTCGTGACGTGGTAGTAGCAGAGGGTTCGTGGTGTGGCAGTAGCAGGGGGTCGTGGGTGGTAGTGGCAGGGGTCGTGGTGTGGTGGAAGGCGGTCATGGTGTGGTAGTGGCAGGGGTCGTGGTGTGGTAGTGGCAGGGGGTCGTGGTGTGGTAGTAGCAGGGAGTCGTGGCGTGGTAGAAGCAGGGAGTCGTGGCGTGGTAGTAGCAGGGGAGTCGTGGCGTGGTAGCAGGGGGTCTGGCGTGTGGTAGTGGCAGGGTCGTGGTGCGGTAGTAGCGGGAGTCGTGGCGTGGTAGTAGCAGGGGTCGGTGTGGTAGTGGCGGGTCGTGGCGTGGTAGTGGAGGGGGTCGTGGTGTGGTAGTAGCAGGGGTCGTGGCTCGGTAGTGGTTCAGGGGGTCGTCGTGGTAGTAGCAGGGTCGTGGTTCAGTGGTAGCACGGTGTGGTAGTAGGGGGTCGTGGCTCAGTAGTAGGGGTCGTGGCTCGATAGCAGCAGGGGTCGTGGTGTGGTAGTAGCAGGAGGTCGTGGTGTGGTAGTAGCAAGGGGTCGTGGTGTGGTAGTAGCATGGGGTTCGTGGCTCGTTAGTAGCAGGAGGTCGTGGCTCGGTAGTAGCAGGGGTCGTGGCTCGGTATTAGCAGGGGTCGTGGCGGTGGTGCTAGTGCAGGGGGTAGTGGCTTTGTCGTAGTAGGGGATCGTGACTCGGTAGTAGCAGGGGATCGTGGTGTGGTAGTAGCAGGGGGTCGTGGTGTGTTAGTAGCAGGGGGTTGTGGTGTGGAAGTAGCAGGGGGTCGTGGCTCGGTAGTAGCAGGGAGTCGTGGCCTGGTAGTAGCATTAGGTGGCGTGGGTCACTCAGCCGTCATTACAGGGCTGAGGGACCGCCGCCATCGTTCGTGCATCACAATCCCATTATGCACGCGACCTGCGTTTTTGTCACGGATTTAATCCATAGAGAAATATGCAAATGGAGTTTCTTGAATCCAATAAAAACATGGTGTGATTCAGACGCCTGAGGTGAGGGTCATGGAGGCGGGGAGAGGCGCCAGCCATACTGTTTATATTAAACAGGAGAGTTGTTATTGTGTTAGTATTGGGGGGTATTAGGGTGGGTGAGGCGGAGGGGATGGGAAATGTGAAGGATGGGGAGGCAGCGTCTTGATTCTACCACTCAAGGCAATCTAGCTGCACAGTCAGCAGCTCTTGTACTGTTTTGTCTAGTTACGATTTTAATTTGATATATATATATATATATATATATATATATATATATATATATATATATATATATATATATATATATATATATATATATATATATATATATATTATATATTATTTACAGACCCATTCTTCGAATGTCGACCAGCTGGAGATTACAGATAATATTCCGATGAATCTGAAGATTTGTAGGTGAAGAAAGCTGACTGCCTTAAAACTCCATAATATGAACTGAACAGAAACCCCAGCGAGTAAGTGACAATAAAACTCCATTATTGCTTCTACTGTGATCATAATGGTCGTGACACGTAATGAACTCACTTTTATCTAATGCGAGGAATTCTGGGAGCCTTTGGTGTCTGCTGGGCGGGTGTGCGAAGCAGCGCTGAGGAGCTTCAACAGTTGACACATTATGGTTTAAAACGAGATCACTGAAACATATAGTTCGTAACATATGCTTGATGTTTGGTGCCAGGACTGTACTGCACCGCCAATTAACAGTGCACCTGTAACACATCTCTGAACTCTTGTCATCTTAACTATCTTGAATATTACCTTATTATTAAAACGATAAAACACTTGCTCTTATATTTATAAAGAAAATACATTAGTGCCTCTATGAAGTCTCTTTAATTTTTCTGTTAGAATTAATGTGTTTTTTTTATGGAGAATATCCCACCAGGACACAGGTTCATTGACCCACAATGGGCCCTGGGAGACCAAAAAAATATATCTAATAATAATAAATTGAGGAGAAAAAGAGTATTAATCTATTTAACGATAATGACGGAAAATAGCTTTTTGAAGTGAGGCAGACTGTAAGAGGATGAAAACACAGAAAAAGGCAAAGCATTCCACAATTTGGCTGCGTGAGAAAAGGAGTTACTTTCAGGGGTTATTCTAGTGTGTCCAACACTCACAAAAAACATTGCCCGTTAAAGTACCTGTAAAAGAAAGAAAGAATGAAGTAACACTGCAGCGAACAGAAAGGGAATAGATTATTGACTAAAGGAGAGTTAATAAGACGAAATGCCGCCTTTGATTCCACCCTGTTTAACAATCGGCCATAAGAACCACCATCAGATATGAGAGTAGTACTCTATGTTAGAGAGGGGTGAAGTTAGGGTGATAGAGAGATTAGAATGGTCACCCTTCTTCGGGGTGGCCTGAACCGAGGCATACTTCCAAGATGAGGCAAAGACGAAAGAGGCGAGCAAGTACAGGAGCCAGAACTTCATCACACTCCCTGAAAACATAGGGGGTATTCTGTCTGGTCCATGCGCCTTTACTCGCATTCCAGAACAATTGGATATGAGAGTAGTACTCTATGTTAGAGAGGGGTGAAGTTAGGGTGATAGAGAGATTAGAATGGTCACCCTTCTTCGGGGTGGCCTGAACCGAGGCATACTTCCAAGATGAGGCAAAGACGAAAGAGGCGAGCAAGTACAGGAGCCAGAACTTCATCACACTCCCTGAAAACGCTAGGGGGTATTCTGTCTGGTCCATGCGCCTTACTCGCATCCAGATTGGATAATGCACTTAAGAAAATGGCTGGAGATAATTTTTGCTGTTACTTGTCGTTATTACAACTATTATGGTTATTGAGCATCATTCACCAGGTCTTTACTTATACAATGAAAAACTTTTAAAACTTAAACAGAGGCCTTTATGTCAGTGTTACCTGCGACACAGCTGTGTCAGTCTTACCTGCGACACAGCTGTGTCAGTCTTACCTGCGACACAGCTGTGTCAGTCTTACCTGCGACACAGCTGTGTCAGTCTTACCTGCGATACAGCTGTGTCAGTCTTACCTGCGATACAGCTGTGTCATTGTTACCTGCGATACAGCTGTGTCAGTGTTACCTGCGATACAGCTGCATCAGTGTTACCTGCGATACAGCTGTGTCAGTCTTACCTGCGACACAGCTGTGTCAGTCTTACCTGCGACACAGCTGTGTCAATGTTGACCTGCGACACAGCTGCATCAGTGTTACCTGCGATACAGCTGTGTCAGTCTTTCCTGCGACACAGCTGTGTCAGTCTTACCTGCGACACAGCTGTGTCAGTCTTACCTGCGATACAGCAGTGTCAGTGTTGACCTGCGATACAGCTGTGTCAGTCTTACCTGCGATACAGCTGTGTCAGTCTTACCTGCGATACAGCTGTGTCAGTCTTACCTGCGACACAGCTGTGTCAGTCTTACCTGCGATACAGCTGTGTCAGTCTTACCTGCAACACAGCTGTGTCAGTCTTACCTGCGATACAGCTGTGTCAGTGTTACTTGCGATACAGCTGCATCAGTGTTACCTGCGATACAGCTGTGTCAGTCTTACCTGCGACACAGCTGTGTCAGTCTTACCTGCGACACAGCTGTGTCAATGTTGACCTGCGACACAGCTGTGTCAGTGTTACCTGCGATACAGCTGTTTCAGTCTTTCCTGCGACACAGCTGTGTCAGTCTTACCTGCGATACAGCTGTGTCAGTCTTTCCTGCGACACAGCTGTGTCAGTCTTACCTGCGACACAGCTGTGTCAGTGTTGACCTGCGATACAGCTGTGTCAGTCTTACCTGTGATACAGCTGTGTCATTGTTACCTGCGATACAGCTGTGTCAGTGTTACCTGCGATACAGCTGCATCAGTGTTACCTGCGATACAGCTGCGTCAGTGTTGACCTGCGATACAGCTGCTTCAGTGTTGACCTGCAACACAGCTGCTTCAGTGTTGACCTGTGACACAACTGCGTCAGTGTTGACCTGTGACACAGCTGCGTCAGTGTTGACCTGTGACACAGCTGCGTCAGTGTTGACCTGTGACACAGCTGTGTCAGTGCTGACCTGTGACACAGCTGCGTCAGTGTTGACCTGTGACACAGCTGCGTCAGTGTTGACCTGTGACACAGCTGCGTCAGTGTTGACCTGTGACACAGCTGCGTCAGTGTTGACCTGTGACACAGCTGTGTCAGTGCTGACCTGTGACACAGCTGCGTCAGTGTTGACCTGTGACACAGCTGCGTCAGTGTTGACCTTTGACACAGCTGCGTCAGTGTTGACCTGTGACACAGCTGCGTCAGTGTTGACCTTTGACACAGCTGCGTCAGTGTTGACCTGTGACACAGCTGCGTCAGTGTTGACCTTTGACACAGCTGCGTCAGTGTTGATCTGTGACACAGCTGCGTCAGTGTTGACCTGTGACACAGCTGTGTCAGTGCTGACCTGTGACACAGCTGTGTGAGTGCTGACCTGTGACACAGCTGTGTCGGCGTTGACCTGTGACACAGCTGTGTTAGTGCTGACCTGTGACACTGCTGTATCAGCGTCGACCTGTGACACAGCTGTGTCGGCGTTGACCTGTGACACTGCTGTGTCGGCGTTGACCTGTGACACTGCTGTATCAGCGTCGACCTGTAACACTGCTGTGTCGGCATTGACCTGTGACACAGCTGTGTTAGTGCTGAGCTGTGACACAGCTGTGTCCGCGTTGACCTGTGACACTGCTGTGTCGGCGTTGACCTGTGACACTGCTGTGTCGGCGTTGACCTGTGACACAGCTGTGTCAGTGCTGACCTGTGACACAGCTGTGTCCGCGTTGACCTGTGACACTGCTGTATCAGCGTCGACCTGTGACACTGCTGTGTCGGCGTTGACCTGTGACACAGCTGTGTTAGTGCTGACCTGTGACACTGCTGTGTCGGCGTTGACCTGTGACACTGCTGTGTCGGCGTTGACCTGTGACACTGCTGTGTCAGTGTTAAATGTAGTACAGCTGTCAGGAGTAAGGAGACACATGTGTGGTGAGATATGTGTGGTGAGACACAGGAGTAATGTGAAACAGGTGTGGTGAGACACAGGAGTAATGAGACATATGTGTGGTGAGACACAGGTGTGGTGAGACACAGGAGTAATGTGACAGGTGTGGTGAGACATGTGTGGTGAGACACAGGAGTAATGAGACATGTGAGTGGTGAGACACAAAAGTAACGAGATATATGTGTGGTGAGACACAGGAGTAATGTGACAGGTGTGGTGAGACACAGGTGTGGTGAGACACAGGAGTAATTAGGCACATGAGTGGTGAGACACAAAAGTAAGGAGATATATGTGTGGTGAGACACAGGAGTAATGAAACAAAGGTGTGATGAGACACAGTAGCAATGGGCCAGAGGTGTGGTGAGACACAGGAGTGATGAGATAATGTGGGACTGAAGTAATGAGACACATGTGTGGTAGGACACATGAGTAATGAGGCACATGAGTGGTGAGACACAGGAGTAATGAAACACATGTGTTGAGACAAAAGAATAGTGAGACACATGTGTGGTGAGACACGGGTGAGATGACACACAGGAGTAATGAGACACAGGTGAGGTGAGACAAAGGGGTAATGAGACATATGCGTGTGGAGAGACAGGAGAAATGACACTTGTGTGGTGAGACAGGAATAATGAGACACATGTGCGGCGAGACGCAGGTGTAATAAGGCACATGTGTGGTGAGACACGGGTGTGGCGAGACACAGGTGTGGTGCAACACACACGTAATGACACACGTGTCATGAGAAACAGGAGTAATGAAAGACAGGTGTGGTGAGACACGCGAGTAATGACATATCTGTGGTGAGACACAAGAATAATTAGACACGTGTGATAAGACACACGAATAATGAGTAAGATGTGTTAAATTCAATAGTAATAAAACTCGGTATTTACCAATTACACTTTCTAAATTAGATGATCTCCAACCAATTACATTTCAGGACGTTATCATTCTGCCAAATTCTAAAATAGATATGCTAGGCCTCACCATTTCCTCTAATGTGTCATGGAAGCCAAACATCCTCAACATTGCTAAAGCTGCCTCCCGAAAGTTGGGAAATCAAGACGTGGGTTGGGTCAAACGATGAGCAGGACAGGAGGATGTATGCAAGAGCCAGAAACCAAGCAAAGATAATAGAGTGTAGAAGGGCTGAAAAGGAGTTCCAGAGTCTGGTTGCAAGCGAGGTCAAGTCAAACCCAAAGGCGTTTTACCGCTATGCAAAGTCGAAATTAAAAACGCGAGTAGGAGAATCAGACCTGAGGCTTGAAGATGGTGGTTTCGCAGATTCTGACCAGGATAAGGCTTGAGGCATGGAACAGCTTCTTTTCCTCGGTGTTCACAAGAGAGGATGCGATTAACCTTCATGCGTTTGAGGACAGACGGTTCGACACAGCACTGACCCACATTGTGTTCACAGAAGAGGGTATTAGAAATAAACTGTCCAGGCTAAAGGTCCATAAGAGTCCCGGACCTGACATGGTGCATCCTAGAGTGCTAAGAAGGTTGTGCAACGAGCTTGCCGAGCCCCTGAAGATCCTGTTTTGTAAATCCCTTGATGAACAAAAGGTTCCCAGTGAATGGAAAGTGGCTTATGTGAGTCCTATCTTCAAGAAGAGCGATCGTCACTCCACGAACAATTATAGACCGGTGAGCCTGACCAGCATAATATGTAAAGTACTTGAGAGTATTATCAGAGATGCCGCAATGGAACATCTACTACGAAACAACCTTGTAAAGGATTGCCAACACGGTTTTATGCCAGGGCGCTCCTGCTTAACACAATTGCTCACGGTATTAGATATTTGGACCCATATTCTGGAACGGGGTGGTAATATCGACAATATTTACCTTGATTTTGCCAAGGCTTTCGTCAGTGTACCCCACGAAAGGCTGAAAATCAAACAAGAAGAGTACGGAATTCGGGGAAATGTCCTAGCGTGGATAGAAGACTTTCTACATGACCGCAAGCAGTGTATGGTGAATAATGGCACGAAATCATCATCCGTACCTGTCACAAGCGGGGTGCCACAGGGCAGTGTATAGGACCCGCTGTTGTTTGTTTGTTTCATAAATGTCCTGTCTGGCGTTGTACACTCCTCCATACAAATGTTTGCCGATGACGCCAAGTTATTTCGGGAAATCAAGAACCAGGCAGACTGTGAAGAGCTGCAGAAGGACCTCTGTGGGCTCCAAGAATGGTCGAAGAAATGGCTGCTGAGATTCAATGTCACGAAGTGTAAGAGGATGCACCTGGGGCGTACCAACGGTAAGGAGGCGTATCATATGTCCCAACGGGATGAAGAAACTGCACTATTTGAGATTGAATGTGAGAAGGACCTAGGTGTGTATGTTGACAATGAGCTGAAGTTCTCGGGCCAATGCAAGAAGAAGGTAAATCAGGTGTAAACGCCTTAGTTAAGGACGTTCAGGTGACGGGAAAGTCGAAGGGAATGATTGAAACCCGTCTTTTGACGCATTCAATATTTATTGATGTGGTCAAAACCTGCAGAGGAGAAGGCGTTCATAATATTACATGGTGATCCATCTGATACATAATTAGTTAGTCTCACACAATTTTATCTTAATTACAATCTATTAAACATACAGACATAACACAAAGTTCATAACTCTATTAATCTTAGCTTCGTTTCATTCTGCATTGTTTTATTACTCTAGGTTAGGCAGAAACGAGTAGGCGTAATTAGTCAACAATATTTCAGTACCGAGGGGTATGTCATCACTTAGGCCGTACTTACAAGTGCGGATCAATGCAGATCAGTATGGTGTTCCAAGAGACAGCAGTATTGTGTAAATCGTTCCAGCACAAATTCTCGGACAGGAGAAGGCTGGTCTTCACAGGATCACTAGAGAGGGCGATCTGACTCATGGAGGGGCGGGCAGCACCGCCACCAGTCGAAGACAGTTCACTCAGCAGAACCAGGACTTCTCTGTAAACACTTGTACATCGGGCGAGGTCACGGGTCGAAAGATTTAATGGTATCACACTCCAGCACTGTAGCTGAAGCCAGCGGCGATAACATCAGGCAAATAAATTATTGGGTCTTATAAGAAGGTCGTTCAGATATCTAGACGGTCCTTCTCTCGTAACGATCTTCAAGAGTGAAGTGGTTCCCCATCTGGAGTACTGTCACCCCGTCTGGTCCCCGAGATATGCTAGGGACTGTCAGTTGGTTGAAAATGTTCAAAGGAGGGCCACCAGACTGGTGCATGCACTTCGGCACCACAGCTACCCTGAGAGATTGGAGCGCCTGAACTTGTCTAGCTTATACTACAGACGGGCAAGGGGCGACCTAATTGAGGTGTATAAGCATCTCAAGGGGCACTACTCAGTCGAGTGTCCTTACTTGGAGCTGGCAGACGCTCGCCCCACTAGAGGTCACAGCTCAAGATTGAAGAAGCCGCAAGTCCAGAAAACTGTGAGGGCAAACTTTGTCGGAGTGAGAGTTGTGAACTCTTGTAACAATCTACCAAAAAGTGTTGTGACGGCACCGAGTGTGAGCTCTTTCAAGACAAGACTTGACCAACACTGGAGCAGGTTCAGGTACATTCAGGAGCCGGTGCATGCCCAGTACTTGTCAACAGTGCGTAACAGAGACGTGACCGATTGCCCAAGCGGCTAACGAGCCGATCAGTGGTGAAGAGGATAAAAGTAAAAAAGAATGCTGTACAGATGCCATAGATACTTCACTCCTAAGTAGTTGCTTCAAGTATATAAGTCCTAACATGGAGTACTGCTCTCATATCTGGGGTGGCTCTTTTTCTGTCCAACTGTTAGATAGGGTAGAATCAAAGGTATTTCGTCTTATTAACTCTCCTCCTTTAGTTGATAATCTCTCTTCCCTTTCTCTTTTTACAGGTACTTTAACGAGTAATGTTCGGTGGATTTGGTATCCTGTGTACCGCCGGCGATGCCGTGGGCTCGTAACACACGTCTTGCCCGCGGTGCCCACCGTTTCTCTGTGGAAGTTGGTCACACTAGAATAACCCATTATAGTGCCTCCTTTCCTCACACGGCCAAACTGTGGAATGCTCTGCCTTCTTCTGTGTTTCCACACTCATACACTCTGTCTCACTTTAAAAGGGTGGTTTTCCGGCATCATCGTGGTGTAGGTTAATTTAACCTTTTTCTATTCTGTTTTTAATTTATTTCTATTCTTATTTTTTCGCCCCCCAGGCCCCATTGTGAGTCGTTCGACCTGTGCCCGGGTTGGCTAATTTCCGTCAAAAAAGAAAAAAAATGTGGTGAGACACACAAGTAATGAAACACACAAGTAATGAGTGACATGTGTGGTGAGACTCAGTAGAAATGAGACACATCGTGTCGTGAAACACAGGAGTAATGAAACCCAGGTGTAGTGAGACAGGGGTAATGAGATACATGTGTGTTGAGACACAGGAATAATGAGACACATGAGTAATAAGACACGTGTGAGACACTGGGGTAATTAGACACAGGAGTAATGAGACATGAGACGCAGGTGTGGTGAAACACTGGAGTAATGAAACCCAGGTGTAGTGAGACAGGGGTAATGAGATACATGTGTCTGAGACACAGGAATAATGAGACATATGAGAAATGAGACACGTGTGAAACACATGAGTAATGAGACACGTGTGTGGCGAGACAAAGAAGTAATGGGATACATGAGACACAGGGGTAATGAGACACGTGTGGTGAGACACAGGAGTACTGTAAAATGTGTGGTGAGACGCATGTTTAGTGAGACACGGGAGTAATGAAACGCATGTGTGGTGAGACACATGTGTAGTGAGACACAGGAGTAATGAGACACGTGTGTGATGAGACATGGGAATAATGAGACATGTATGTGGTGAGACACAAGACTAATGAGACACGTGTGTGGTGAGACACAGGAGTAATGTGATACAGGTGTGGTGAGACACACGAGTGGTGAGACACTTTAGTAATGAGACACATGTGTGGTGAGGCACAGGAGTAATGAAACACGGGTGTGGTGAGACACAGGTGTGGTGAAACAGCAGTAATGGGACATACGTTAGGTGAGACACAGGAGTAATGAGACGCAGGTCTGGTGAGACACAGGAGTAAAGAGACACAGGTGTGGTGACACACAGGAAGTAATGAGACACAGGTATGGTGACACACAGGAAGTAATGAGGCACAGGTATGGTGAGACAGGACTAACGAGACACAGGTGTAACGAGACACAGGTGTGGTGAGACACAGGAATAACGAGACACAGGTGTGGTGACACACAGGAAGTAATGAGACACAGGTGTGGTGAGACAGGACTAACGAGACACAGGTGTAACGAGACACAGGAGTAACAGACACAGGAGGTGAGACACAGGTGTGTGAGACACAGGAGTAACGAGACACAGGAGTAAAGAGACACAGGACTATCGAGACAGGTGTGGTGAGACACAGGAAGTAATGAGACACAGGAGTAACGAGACACAGGACTATCGAGACAGGTGTGGTGAGACACAGGAAGTAATGAGACACAGGAGTAACGAGACACAGGAGTATCGAGACAGGTGTGGTGAGACACAGGAAGTAATGAGACACAGGAGTAACGAGACACAGGACTATCGAGACAGGTGTGGTGAGACACAGGAAGTAATGAGACACAGGAGTAACGAGACACAGGACTATCGAGACAGGTGTGGTGAGACACAGGAAGTAATGAGACACAGGAGTAACGAGACACAGGACTATCGAGACAGGTGTGGTGAGACACAGGAAGTAATGAGACACAGGAGTAACGAGACACAGGAGTATCGAGACAGGTGTGGTGAGACACAGGAAGTAATGAGACACAGGAGTAACGAGACACAGGACTATCGAGACAGGTGTGGTGAGACACAGGAAGTAATGAGACACAGGAGTAACGAGACACAGGACTATCGAGACAGGTGTGGTGAGACACAGGAAGTAATGAGACACAGGAGTAACGAGACACAGGAGTATCGAGACAGGTGTGGTGAGACACAGGAAGTAATGAGACACAGGAGTAACGAGACACAGGACTATCGAGACAGGTGTGGTGAGACACAGGAAGTAATGAGACACAGGAGTAACGAGACACAGGAGTATCGAGACAGGTGTGGTGAGACACAGGAAGTAATGAGACACAGGAGTAACGAGACACAGGACTATCGAGACAGGTGTGGTGAGACACAGGAAGTAATGAGACACAGGAGTAACGAGACACAGGACTATCGAGACAGGTGTGGTGAGACACAGGAAGTAATGAGACACAGGAGTAACGAGAGAGACACAGGATATCCAGAGACAGGTGTGGTGAGACACAGAATGTGGGACACAGGAGTAAGCAAGACACAGGACTATCAGGACAGGTGTCAAAGGTGGGGCACGGAGTAATGGAACTAGGAGATGTGGCAGAACCTGGGACTATCCCAGGACAGGTGTGTGAGACACAGAGTAATGAGAGACACAGAATTAACAGGACACAGGAGTATCAGAGACAGGTGTGGTGAGACACAGGGAGTAATGTAGAGACACAGGTGTGGTGAGACACTGGAGTGTGAGACACAGGAATGGTGGAGACAGAATTAACAGAGACACAGGAGTAACGAGACACATGTGTGAGACACGGGTGTGGTGAAGTTTGCTAGATGTGGGGACACAGGTGTGGTGGGACACTGGAGTGTCAAGAGACCTGAGTGTGGTGAGACAGAGATGAGCAAGAGACACAGGTGTGGTGAGACACAGGAGTGAACAGAGACACAGGTGTGGTGAGACACTGAATGTGAGACACAGGTGTGGGTGGGGACACTGGAGTAATGGGACACAGGTGTGTGCAGCACAGGAAGTAATGGGACACAGGTGTGGTGAGACCCAGGGTGACAGGGACTGGGAGTGGCAGGTGAAAGCAGGATACAAGAGTGGCCAGAGACACAGGGGTGGCAAGGACACAAGGTGTGGTGAGACACTGGAGTAATGAACCTGGGTGGTGAGAGTTACTGGAATGATAAGACACAGGTGTGGTGAGACACTGGAAACAATGGGAACACAGGTGTGGTGAGACACCAGAGTAATGAGAGACACAGGTGTGGTGAGACACTGGAGTAATGAGACACAGATGTGATGAGACACCGGAGTAATGAGACACAGGTGTGGTGAGACACTGGATTAATGAGACATGTGTGGTGAGACACAGGAAGTAATGAGACACAGGTGTGGTGAGACAGGAGTAACGAGACACAGGAGTAACGAGATACAGGAGTAACGAGACACAGGAGTAACGAGACACAAGTGTGGTGAGACACTGGAGTAATGAGACACAGGTGTGGTGAGACACTGGAGTAATGAGACACAGGTGTGGTGAGACACTGGAGTAATGAGACACAGGTGTGGTGAGAGACACAGGAAGAAATGAGACACCAGTGGCTGAGACACTGGAGTAATGGAGACACAGATGTGGTGGACACCAGATGTGGGAACACAGGTGTGGTGGGGACACTGGATTAATGGGACATGTGTGGGGTGAGACACTGAATAATGAGACATGTGTGAGGTGAGAAAACTGGAGTAATGGACACCAGGTGTGGTGAGACACTAAGACAATGAAATTTTAATTGAGACACAAAATGTAGAGGCAAGTGTGGTGGAACAGGAGTAACAGAGACACAAGATGACAGAATACAGAGTAACAAGACACAGAGACACTTGAACACAAGGTGTGAACAATTTTACAGGTGTGGTGAGACACTGGAAGTAATGAGACACAGGTGTGGTGAGACACTGGAGTAATGAGACACAGATGTGATGAGACACCGGAGTAATGAGACACAGGTGTGGTGAGACACTGGATTAATGAGACATGTGTGGTGAGACACTGGAATAATGAGACATGTGTGGTGAGAAACTGGAGTAATGGACACAGGTGTGGTGGGACACGTGAGTAATGAGACACAAGTGTGGTGGGACACTGGAGTAATGAGACATAGGTGTAGTGGGACACATGTGTGGTGAGACACACGTATGGTGAGACACAGGAGTAATGAGACATAGGTATGGTGAGACAGAGTTGAACGTGGTAATCACTGTGAGTCATCAGGTGGGAGGAAGATATGACCATGTGGTTACAAGGCTGGTACACGACGGCAGCACTGGCAGGTGTGAAAATGTTATGTTTGCCAAACTTATTAGATGAAGGTGGAGGGAGTGGGAGAAATGTTGATGGCAATTGTTTTAATGCTGTCACCACAATAACGCATGGTCGGTAATTGTAGGTTCGTAGTGTGTGTGTGTGTGTGTGCCGTAGGTTAGTTCCCCCTTCAGTTGTGTTTTGTTAAGGTAATTTTGTGTTGTGTGGGGTTTAGGAGGAAGCCCCTTGTTTGGTTTTACTTAGGGAGTAATACTCGTGTGTACAGGTCCTCTCTGATCCTGTAATGTATAAATTGTCACACTGGAAGTTCATTTACAAATAGAGAGAAATAAAGATTTAGGGATAATGTACAGGAGAGTTGCGAGAGTTTTGTTAAACATCAAATGTCAGTGAGCC